TAAAGTGTGTTTGTCAGTAGAATTGTAAAGTGTGTTTGTCAGTAGAATGGTAAAGTGTGTTTGTCAGTAGGATGATAAAGTATGTTTGTCAGTAGAATTGTAAAGTGTGTTTGTCAGTAGAATTGTAAAGTGTGTTTGTCAGTAGAATTGTAAAGTGTGTTTGTCAGTAGAATTGTAAAGTGTGTTTGTCAGTAGAATTGTAAAGTGTGTTTGTCAGTAGAATTGTAAAGTGTGTTTGTCAGTAGAATTGTAAAGTGTGTTTGTCAGTAGAATTGTAAAGTGTGTTTGTCAGTAGAATTGTAAAGTGTGTTTGTCAGTAGAATTGTAAAGTGTGTTTGTCAGTAGAATTGTAAAGTGTGTTTGTCAGTAGAATTGTAAAGTGTGTTTGTCAGTAGAATGGTAAAGTGTGTTTGTCAGTAGAATTGTAAAGTGTGTTTGTCAGTAGAATTGTAAAGTGTGTTTGTCAGTAGAATTGTAAAGTGTGTTTGTCAGTAGAATTGTAAAGTGTGTTTGTCAGTAGAATTGTAAAGTGTGTTTGTCAGTAGAATTGTAAAGTGTGTTTGTCAGTAGAATTGTAAAGTGTGTTTGTCAGTAGAATTGTAAAGTGTGTTTGTCAGTAGAATTGTAAAGTGTGTTTGTCAGTAGAATTGTAAAGTGTGTTTGTCAGTAGAATTGTAAAGTGTGTTTGTCAGTAGAATTGTAAAGTGTGTTTGTCAGTAGAATTGTAAAGTGTGTTTGTCAGTAGAATTGTAAAGTGTGTTTGTCAGTAGAATTGTAAAGTGTGTTTGTCAGTAGAATTGTAAAGTGTGTTTGTCAGTAGAATTGTAAAGTGTGTTTGTCAGTAGAATTGTAAAGTGTGTTTGTCAGTAGAATTGTAAAGTGTGTTTGTCAGTAGAATTGTAAAGTGTGTTTGTCAGTAGAATGGTAAAGTGTGTTTGTCAGTAGAATTGTAAAGTGTGTTTGTCAGTAGAATAATAAAGTGTGTTTTTCAGTAGAATTGTAAAGTGTGTTTGTCAGTAGAATTGTAAAGTGTGTTTGTAAGTAGAATTGTAAAGTGTGTTTGTCAGTAGAATCGTAAAGTGGGTTTGTCAGTAGAAATATAAGGTGTGTTTGTCTGTAGAATTGTAAAGTGTGTTTGTAAGTAGAATTGTAAAGTGTGTTTGTCAGTAGAATTATAAAGTGTGTTTGTCAGAAGAATGGTCAAGTGTGTTTGTCAGTAGAATTGTAAAGTGTGTCTGTCAGTAGAATAATAAAGTGTGTTTTTCAGTAGAATTGTAAAGTGTGTTTGTCAGAAGAATGGTAAAGTGTGTTTGTCAGTAGAATGGTAAAGTGTGTTTGTCAGTAGAAATATAAGGTGTGTTTGTCAGTAGAATTGTAAAGTGTGTTTGTCAGTAGAATTGTAAAGAGTGTTTGTCAGTAGAATTGTAAAGTTTGTTTGTCAGTAGAATTGTAAAGTGTGTTTGTCAGTAGAATCGTAAAGTGTGTTGTCAGTAGAATTGTAAAGTGTGTTTGTCAGTAGAATGGTAAAGTTAGTTTGTCAGTAGAACTGTAAAGTGTGTTTGTCATTAGAAATGTACATGTAAAGTGTGGTTGTCATTTGAAATGTAAAGTGTGTTTGTCAGTAGAATTGTAAAGTGTGTTTGTCTGTAGAATTGTAAAGAGTGTTTGTCAGTAGAATTGTAAAGTGTGTTTGTCAGTAGAACTGTAAAGTGTGTTTGTCAGTAGAACTGTAAAGTGTGTTTGTCATTAGAAATGTACATGTAAAGTGTGGTTGTCATTAGAAATGTAAAGTGTGTTTGTCAGTAGAATTGTAAAGTGTGTTTGTGTGCTTCTTCAAATGATCACCATTACACTGCAAAAAAGAAATCGTAAGAGAAAAAGGGTTTTTGACAAAACGAAAACGATTTGTTTTGGTTTAAGCTTCTTATTAATATTAAAGGTAATATAAGGACGTGACTCCATGTGTGTAATATATGGACGTGACTCCATGTGTGTGATATATGGACGTGACTCCATGTGTGTGATATATGGACGTGACTCCATGTGTGTGATATATGGACGTGACTCCATGTGTGTATTGTATGGACGTGACTCCATGTGTATAATGTATGGACGTGACTTCATGTGTGTAATGTATGGACGTGTGTTTGTCAGTAGAATTGTAAAGTGTGTGTGTCAGTAGAATTATAAATTGTGTTTGTCAGAAGAATGGTAAAGTGGGTTTGTCAGTAGAATTGTAAAGTATGTTTGTCAGTAGAATGGTAAAGTGTGTTTGTCAGTAGAATGGTAAAGTGTGTTTGTCAGTAGAACTGTAAAGTGAGTTTGTCAGTAGAATTGTAAAGTATGTTTGTCAGTAGAATGGTAAAGT